TTTTTTTGAGTCAGAGTCTCACTCTGTCGCCCAGGCTGGAGTGCAGTGGCAAGCTAACGGCCACTGCAGCCTCGACCTGCTGGGCTCAGGCGATCCTTCCACCTTAGTCTTCCAAGTAGCTGGAACTACAGGCGTGCACCACCACACCCAGCTAACTTTTTTATTTATTGTAGAAACGAGGTCTCACCATGTTGCCCAGGCTGGTCTCGAACCCCTGAGTTCAGGTAATCCTCTCGCCTCAACCTCCCAAAGTGCTGGGATGACAGGCGTGAGCCACCGTGCCTGGCCTGGAGACCTTGTCTTTACAAAAAAATCAAATAATTAGCCAGGCGTGCTGGCATGTGCCTGTAGTCCCAGTTACTTGGGAGGCTGAGGTGGGAGGATCGCCAGAGTCCAGGAGGTCAAGGCTGCAATGAGCCATGATCTTGCCACTGCAGTGCAGTCTGGAGGACTGTCTGGGGTGAGACCCAGCTAAAAAATAAGTAACATATTTAGATGACCATATTAGGCTGAATAATGGCCCCCAAATATCAGGTCCTAATCCCTGGAACCTGAAAATGTTGCCTTATGTGGAAAAAAGGTCTTTGCAGATGCGATTACATTACAGATCTAGAGATGAGGGGGATTTTGTTAATTATCTGCATGGGCCCTTTAATACAATCACAATTGTCTGTAAGAGAGAAGCAGAGGGAGATTTGACTCACATACAGAAGAGTTTGAGAAATCATGTGACCACAAAGGCAGCGATCAGAGGGACGTGGCCACAGACAGTGGAAGCTGAAGGATTGTCCCGAGGGAGCAGGCTCCTGCCAACCCTTGGCTTAGTTCAGTGGCACTGATTTCAAACCGGCCTCCAGAGGGTGAGAAAATGAGTGTCTGTGGTTTAAGTCATTAAGTTGGCAGTAATTTGTTACTGCAGCAAGAGGAAACCAATACAGTGGTTTACATGACTTAGTCGCCCGATACAACTGCATTTACATGAAGTAATTTCTAACACAGGATAAAATGCAGCATAATTTTCCCTACAGAATGATCCACAACAGGCTTGAAAGTAGCATTTTCTCTAATTACCTTCAAAATGGGCCATTTACGAAAACAAATACTTCACACATAACATTTTGGGAACATTTCCGTAATGTAAGCCTCATGGCTTCAGATGCCACAAATACAGGACTGACTCCCAAATTCAAACCTTGGGCCCGAATGACGGCCCTTCACTTGAAACTCGCATCCCACTGGAAGGTCACCTCCCCTCACACTTCACACATCGAGAGCTGGGCTCCTCCTTCCCTCAGCCTGCTTCTCCCCGGTCTGCGCCATCCTGGCCAGTGGAAACCGCATCCTTCCAGATGCTCCGGCCAGGGGTCTTGAGATGTGCCTGCATTCTCTCCTCTTACATCCACCAGCATCCTATCTCGCGTCTACCTCCAGAAGCCGTCCAGTCACCTCTTCCCTCTTCCACCGCCTCCGCCCGAGTCGCCTCCCATGTCCGTCTGGATTCGGGCAGCGTCCTCCCAAGCAGTCTCCCAGCTGCTGTCCGGTGGAGTCACCGCACGGCAGTCGGAGCGATTCTCTTCATGTGTGGTTCAGCTCTTGCCTCTCCCTTGTCCAAGCCCCCCGTTGGCTTTCCATCTCACACAGATTAAAAACCAAGTCCTGTGGCTTGCACTGGTAATACCAGCAAGTGGAGAAATTCTGGGAAGCTGAGGTGAGAAGTTTAAGATCAGCCTGGACAATATAGGGACGCCCCACCCCCTCACCCATCTCTACAATTGAAAAGAAAAGAAAAACTTAGCCAGGTGTGGTGGTATGCACCTGTGGTCCCAGCTACTCAGGAGGTTGAGGTGGGAGGATTGCTCAAATTCAAGACCAGCCAGGACAACACAGCAAGACCCTGTCTCTAAATAATTAAAAACATCAAGTTCTTCTAGAGCCTACATTACATCTACAGCTCCCTCACTCCTGGTTTAGTCACTCGGCCATCCTCACTCCCTTCAGACAGGTCAGGTGTGATCTGACTGTTCCCACCCAGGGCTCTTGCGTGGGCTGCAGCGTCTGGCAAGAAGCTCCAACCCCCAGAAATCTGCAAGACGTGCTCCCTCCCGTTCTTCAGGTCCTGGCTCACCAGTGACGCCTTCTGTGGCCCTTTCCAAGGGCACACCATCCACACACACAGCTCCGTGTTTATTTTCTGACTTCTCCCCATTAGAATGTTCAGTTTCCAAAGGCAGGAATTTGGGGCCAGATCTGTGCGCAGCCAATAAGCTGAATGTGCCAGAAATGCCAACTCTGAAGAAATACACCAGATAAAGTAACACATGCGCAGTGTTCTGGTATTAGGTCATAACACACCCGATTATTGCTCTTTCTGAAGAAACTCATCCCTTCAGCATTCCTCTTCGCCTTCTCGATACCCCTTTCTCCACTGCCAGTTTTTCCCTTTGAAACCAACTTCTTTCTCACAATGCCACAAATTTAATCTCAGACTCACCCAGATAAAGAATTCATGAAGAGCAGTGCCCTCGCCTATGTTTTTCTGACCACCACTGACTTCTGAGTACCTTCTGTACTTGCTTCTTTTTTCCTTGTATTTCTGCTTGCTTTCATTTTGCCTCTAAGCCTAGCAAGGAAGGGCTTCAGCTTGGTTTGGGAGCCAACTAGTTCTCTCCACTTGCTTTCTACCCCACAGACCCCCTCCCACTGATTTGTTGAGTTCAGGGAACATAAGTCTGTCATCTCCATCAGACTTGTTATTTTTTGTCTTCTGAACTCTTCACACAAAATTTAGATATGCAGATCCTTCTGTCTACACCAGTCAAATCAACTTCACGTAGAATATAAAGTAGGAGCATTTTATCCTAGTATGCCTCAACAATACGGCTCTCCAGAGTGTGTTTAGGAATTGGTAGGGGAATTCTGAGTGTCACAGTCCTTTGGGAAAGAGGGAGATACCAGCCTGTAATTGAGATGATAGGCAACTTGTCATGTGGCTAGTACACACAATAAAATATTGTCCCACACACAATCCATCAGATTCTTGAATGTCCTGCCAGATACCTGCTTACGTGTCTGAGGCCTGGACTGTAACTTAATTTTACATATGATAAGGTATATTTTTCGACAGTTTATTTAAAAATTTTTTTCAGAGACAGTCTTGTTCCGCTGCCCAGGCTGGAGTACAGCGGCATGATTGTAGTTAACTGCAGCCTGGAACTCCTGAGCTCAGGCGATCCTCCAGCTCAGCCTCCCAAGAAGCTGGGATTATAGGTGCACACCACTACACCTGGCTAATTTTTTTATTTGCATAGAAATAGGGTCTCACTTTGTTACCCAGGCTGGTCTCACACTCCAGATCTCAAGTGATCCTCCCACCTCAGCCTCCCATGCCCAGCTTCTGCTGTTTTTTTTTTATTTTTTATTTTTATTGAGTTGGAGTCTCACTCTGTCGCCCAGACTGGAGTACAGTGGCCACTCCCGGCCACTGTAGCCTCGACCTCCTGGGCTCCAGTGATCCTTCCACCTCAACCTTCCAAGTAGCCAAAATTACAGGCACTCATGCCCGGCTGATTTTTTGATTTATTGTAGAGATGAGGTCTCGCTGCCCAGGCGGGTCTCGAACCCACGGGCTCGGGCAGTCCACTCACCTCAGCCTCCCAAAGGCGTGGGATTACAGGCTGAGCCACCGAGCCTGGCTTCTGCTGTTTTAATATGAACTAAAATTTCGAAGAACTCTTCCATGTGAAAGACAGCGGGTTTTCTTTTTTAATATACTTTATGATAGAGTCAGAACTTTATCAAGAAGTTGTTCATTCTGGAAACACCATGTTGCCAGTGTGAGCCCACAAGGCTGGAGCAGGGATAGTACCTGCCACGGGGGCTGGCGACCCTCGCAGCACCAGGAACCCTGTGACGTCAGTGAAACAGCAAGTAAATGTTTTCCCAAGCCTCTTACCTACGGATCAGTGACTACGAAAACAAAAACATGGACTTGGTAGGTCCCCGAGCCGCTGCCGTGTCTCCTCTCATGAGCCCTAAAGACCCACAGGTCCCCCTGGTCAACCCAGACCTTCTTCTTGGGGGTGTTCTGGCCTCGCACAGACAAGAGGACGGGAGCCACACAACTCACCTGCAGTTCTGAGGAGCGTCTCGGGGCAGGGAGTAAGCACACATGGACCAGCCCATTCTGGGACACGTACTTTGCTCAGAGTGTTGGTGGTGCTCATGGTTAAGATCTGCTGGTAAAATCCATGTTCTTGGTGTCTTGAATAAAGAACTGAATGAAACACACCAGCAGCAAAGGCAAAAAGCAGCTTATTAGGCAAGAGCAGAAGCGACAGCACACCCCAGAGGCAGACAGGAGCAGCCCAGCACGAGCATAGCTCCACAGCCCAACAAGCAAATTCTGTGGGGCTTCTAGATCTTCAACTGGGGTCGTGCAGTTTGGTCACTGGATGGGCCCAGTACATGGCTTGTTCCACTGGCCAAGTTTAGATGTTGCACTAACTGGTGGGAAGTCTCTGCCCACAAGTTTACCGCAGAAGTTTCCCTGTATGCCCTTGTGGAAAATGCTCTGTCAGCCGGGCTCGGTGGCTCAGCCTGTAATCCCACGCCTTTGGGAGTCCGAGGTAAGTGGACTGCCTGAGCCCGCGGGTTCGAGACCCGCCTGGGCAACTTGGCGAGACCTCATCTCTACAGTAAATCAAAAATTAGCCGGGCGTGGTAGCGCACCTGTAGTTCCAGCTACTTGGAAGGCTGAGGCGGAAGGATCACCGGAGCCCAGCAGGTCGAGGCTGCGGTGACTGGGAGCGGCCACTGCACTCCAGTCTGGGCGACAGAGTGAGACTCCAACTCAAAAAAAAAAACAAAAAACTTTGTCTCGGCCAGATCTGTTATGGGATCCACTGAGTTAACGCAGACAAATTCCTGGTCCCCTCCTCCCATTCTAGTTCCTGTCTGCCTTCCTGACTCATTTTTCCCCGAGACATGATCCCCATAAATCTCTGTCTTCTGTACCTGCTTCCTGCTGGAGAAGGGCGTTGACTCTGTCTACTGGGGATCATGAAACTCTCATCCTGTCTGATCTAGGTGAGAGAGTGGGGTTGAGGCCAGGTTGGCGGGGTGGTTTCGAAGCATGTTGTTGGGAAGGCCATTGTCTGGCTGTACAGCACACCATAGGAATCAGCAGAGGTTCCAGGGGGCTGACGTCCCCATTGCACAACCATCTGCAGTTTTGTGGCCTCTAGACGAGAAGAAATGAATTTAGTTAAGTTTAGCAGCAGGGTCTGAAAACAAAGGCCAAAATGATCATCAACAGAAGTCCTAATAAGGGCAACAACCATGGGAACCAATTCCAGAACTTTGACCAGGTTCCCTGGGAATCAGACATGTGTTGTCGGATTGGTGAGGCTCTATCTGCGAGTTTCTTTGCTGCATCCCTAAGTAGGCCAGACTGATTGACATAAAAGCAACATTCTTCTTCTAGGAATAGGCAAAGTCCACCATTTTCTGCAGTCAGGAGGTCTAATCCCCTTCTGTTTTGGAGCACCACTCCTGCTAGGGAATCCATCTGATTTTGGAGAGTCAAGATATTTCGGGCTATTTCACCTAAACTTTCTGAAAAGTCTTTGGATAAGCCTTGACTGTAGGTTAGCGAAGTGGACAGGGTAGCAACCCCAGGACTTTCCCCAGTGGTAACCCCCAATCCAACTAACAGAGGGATAAGTCATAAGGCTCTTTTCATCCTCCTATGAGCTGTTGCGGGGACATTCAGTGGTTGTGGGGGGCAAACCTGATCTCAGGGGACAGATAAAAAGGGTGCAAGTGCCTGTCTAATTTGCAGGGAGGCATAAATAAGAGGACCACAAAGAAAGAAAACGGGGAGTTTTTAGGCAGAATCTCGTAAGCAGTAAAAAGATGGGTGTTTGGGATTTCCGTGCTCCCAAATGGAAAGGCTTCCTGCCAGGGCTGCTCCCATGAGTGGCTGGTATGGCCCCCGGGACGTGTCTTGGATGGGATTCGTGGTTTTGCCTTCACAAGGCAAATATCATCTGGATGTGTCTATGAACACCTAGGTGGTTGAGTTTTCAGGTTGTGACATCAGAAGGCAATGAGTGGTTTCTGGGTTAGTACAATCACATCAAGGTAAGATGAGAGTGTATTGGGTAGGCGTCCCTTGGCAATAGTTGGAGGGGTTGTTCAACAACGTGGTGGTATCGAGTACAGGCTTCCATGAAAACCCACTGGGTTTCTGAATCCGGGTGGCTGTTACTTGGAAACTGGTCCATTCTCTGGAAGGATGTATTTTTATTGTGTAGCTCTAAAGGGATTAGTCTAAGGTACCTACAACTTGGGCCCTTTTAACACTCATTGGCACCTAAAATTTTAAGGGAGTAGTTGTTGTAATGGGTCTCCAAATGGGGTGTTTCTGCGGATCCTATCAGGTTATGTTGGTAATGGGTGAGAAGATTAAGAGGTCTCCAGATATTGGAATCCGTGCCTGTAGTTTCAAGCGTAATGTCTCGCCAGTGGTCCAGGAGTTCCTGGTCCGTGGTAACTCACAAATCTGGTAAAGCTGACAGGTCCTTTAGCCTTCCAAAAGGTGAACCTCCTTTATATTTAAGGCGGAGAGTCATTTCACTGGTGGCCCATAACCTAATAGGAATAGGCACAGCTATACGTTGTCTGGATAAAGATAAACAAAGACAACAGTCTTTAGCTAAATTTGGATTAGAGAAACTTAGAAAATTATGAGTTCATCTGAAAGTATTATATAAGTATTCGATACCTAATATTTTTCCAATACGTGATTTCCCTTTAATTGCCATGTCAACCATGGATATTAACCCTATTAGTCCTGAAAAACAAAGATGTGTTAGCTTCATTTCTGAGGATAAAGCAGTTACTGGCATGTATTCTTGGAGGAATGCAAGTGAGTCTCAATAATATCCAAATGAAAAACACAAGGGTACATAATAGCCCAAGGACAGGAGCAACCCAGTGATGAAGCATCTATTTCCTTGTGGCCGTCTCTGAAGGCCTTCTTTTAAGGGCGAACTTCAAAGTTTCAATGGACTCACAGTGCACGTTGTTTTCTCTGGGGAGGGTGATGGCTGTTGCCTCTCGCCTGCAATGAGAAGGGTGCAAGCTTTACTCTGCAGAGAGGAATCCAACTATCCATTTCTGCCATTTTTCCAGCAGAAGAGGTTGCTAAGATTACTGTTAAAGGGCCCTTCCAGTTGGGATTTAGTTGATCATTGGGAGTTCCTTCCCTCCAGGTTTTAATCAGGACCTGGTCCCCTGGCTTTATTCAGACCAACTTAACATTATCACCAGGAGGGGGCAGAATGTGAGCCCTGTATTCTTTTAAGGCTTCTTGAAGCTGAACCCGATTGGTGATATGTTTTTTTTTGTTGTTGATTTGGAGTCTCACTCTGTCACCCAGACTGGAGTGCAGTGGCTGCTCCCGGCCACCGCAGCCTCGACCTGCTGGGCTCGTGCAATCCTTCCGCCTCAGCCTTCCAAGTAGCTGGAACTACAGATGCGCGCTACCACGCCCGGCTGACTTTTTAATTTATTGTAGAGATGAGGTCTCACCAAGTTGCCCAGGCGGGTCACGAACCCATGGGCTCAGGCAATCCACTCACCTCAGCCTCCCAAAGTGCTGGGATTACAGGCTGAGCCACCGAGCCCAGCTGGTGATAAGTTTTATAAGACCTGCAAGTTTCAGGGTCCGTGAGCATGTCCGCTGAAAGAAAAGGTCGGCCATATAGCATTTCATAAGGGCTAAAATTGAGTTTGGCCTTAGGGGCATGGCGTATTCTCATAAGATCAACAGGGAGCATAGAGACCCGATGTTCAGAAGTTTTCTGGCATAACTCAGCAAGTGAGCGTTTGAGAGTCTGATGATCTTTTTCTGCTTTCCGGGAAGACTGTGGCCTACAGGCAGAGTACAGTAAATGTTTTGTTCCCAAGGCTTTAGTCACTCCTTGTGTTGTTTGGGAAACAAGGAAAAGTAGTCCAGACCTTGGAATGATTTCTTTTCAAAGGGCCTCACCACTTCCATTGCTTTTCTGTGTGAGTGGGGAAAGCCACTGCTCAGCCTGTAAAGGTATTTACGAAAACTAAGAGACACATATGCCCTTGGCAAGGCGGCACATGAGTAAAATCTATTTGCTAATCTTCCCCTGGGTAGGTACCCTTCTCCGTGCTGGCTCTGGTAAAGGTGGCATCTTTGGCTCTGGGTTATTATAGACACATATAGGGCAAGCTTGGCAGACCTGCTTTACAGTTCAGGTGAGTCCTATGAACAGGCGAGTGGCCAAAGCTCCTCGTGCTCAGTGGAAGGCATCAGGCACAGCTTTAACAGCTTTCCACTGGCCTGTGCTTCCCCCTTCAGTTTGGGCCTTTAGATCTTCCTGAGAACATTTGGGATGGATTGGCTCCCTTGCACAAGGAAACATGGTTGAGACAGGGTGAGACAAGGCCACTGGCATCCAGCCTAGCTTCTCTGTCCATCTTTTGGTTGTCTTTGACCACAGGGAGTTTTCCTTCTGATGTCCCCTGCAAAGCATGACAGCCACCTCCTTTGGCAGTTGAACCACCTGAAGAAGTCGGAGGGTCTCACGCCCATGTTTGACAGGGGACTGTTTATCTAATAGTCCCTGTTCCTTCCAAATGGCTGCATGGACATGGAGAACAAGGAAAGCATGCTTAGAACCAGTATAAGTGTTTAGTTTCTTCACTTTCCTAAGGTTAAAGCTCGGGTGAGGGCTATGGTCTCTGCTCTTTGGGCAGAGGCCCCTGGAGCCAAAGGTCGAGACTCAATAGCATTACCTTTGCTAACCTCTGCATATCCTGTCACCCAACACCCTTTTTTGTCTAGCATATAACTGTTGCCATCAGTAAACCAGGTTTCCTCTGTGTTTTCCAAAGGGAACTCTTTCTGATCTGGTCTACTTGCATAGGTGTAAGATATAACTGGGGCACAGGAGTAGATTTTTCAGTAAGCATCCAAGAGGCCGGGTTTAAGAGATTACATGTTGCCAGGCTTGGTGGCTCAGCCTATAATCCCGCGCTTTGAGAGGCTGAGGTGAGTGGACTGCCTGAGCCCACAGGTTCGAGACCCACCTGGGCAACTCGGCGAGACCTCATCTCTACAATAAATCAAAAAATTAGCCGGGTGTGGTAGCGCGTGCCTGTAGTTCCAGCTACTTGGAAGGCCGAGGTGGAAGGATTGCCAGAGCCCAGCAGGTCGAGGCTGCAGTGGCCGGAAGCGGCCACTGCTCTCCAGTCTGGGCGACAGAGTGAGACTGCAACTCAGAAAAAAAAAAAAGAGGTTACATGTCTTTAGGGTGACCTCAGGATTACCTATGAGGGCAGCCTGATATTCAGTCAAGTGTCCTCCGGCCATCCATAAGTGACCCTTTATTTCTAGGACCAATTTGACTTGATGAGGAGTAAGAACTTCTAGGGACTGTCCCAGAGTGATCTCGGTGGCTTCCTCTGCCAAAGAGCAGTGGCAGCCACTGCCCTGAGGGAACTGAGCCAGCCTGTGGCGGTGCCATCCACTTTATTTGAAAAATGGGCCCTGGGTCACAGCCAGTCCAACTTTGGGGTTAGGACTCCAGGGGAAATTCCTTTTTTTCCTGCAACATAGAGGGAAGGGTCTGAGTAGGGCGGGAGTCCCTGAAGTCGGAGCTTGTGTAAGGGCCTGTTTTAAACCATCAGAGGCCTTTTTGGCTTCTCCAATCATTCCAGGGCCTCATATGTAGGCCCCTTTATAGCCTCATAAAGGGACTTCGCGATGAGGCCAAAGTTAGGTATCCAGATCCATGCCTATAAAGGACCTGAGCTGATGCTTAATTTGGGGATATTGCAAAACACAGATGGCCCAAAGGCAACTTGGGGCCAGTTGCTGTGTCCCAGGGGTAAGAATATGCCTGAGGTATTGTGCCTTTTGCATTGAGATTTGGGCCTTTTTCTTCAAGACTTTAGAGCCCTGTTCTGCTAAAAAGTTGAGGACTTCTATGGTGTTTGTATCTGAAGCCTCTCTAGTCAGACTGCAAATTAGCAAGTCATCCACATTCTGAAGGATGCTACCTCCATTTAAATTCAAATCCCTTAGATCCCTTCCCAAGGCTCAAGCAAACAAATGTGGACTGTTTCTAAACCCCTGAGAAAGAACAGGCGAAGTGTATTATTGCCTTTCCCTGGTATCTGGATCTTCCCCCTCAAAAGCAAACAAGAACTGGAGTCTGGGTGCAAGGGAATGGAGACGTACGCACCCTTGAGGTCTAACACGGAGTCCCCATCTGTACCTCCAAGGACCTGGGGCAGTAAAGTATAAGGATCTGCTACCAAGGGATGAACAGGAATTCCTGCCTCCTTGAGAATTCTCAAGTCCTGGACCATTCTCTATTCCCGGATTGGCTTAAGTACCAACAATTTTGAGTATTACAAGCAGACTGGCAGGGTCTTAGAAGCCCAAACTTCAAAAATTCATTTACTGCGGGTTCACGTCCCTCTTTTTGCTTCAGCCGTCACTGGCTATTGCTTACGACAGGGGAATTTAGTAAGATCTTAAGGTGTATTTTAGCAGGGAGTGCTGTGATTTGCC